CTCTATTCACCAGGGCCAAATAGAAACGCAGAGTCAGTTTCAGGTGAGATAGAAGAGTAGATTTTTATTGCTTTGCCAGGCAAAGGGGGCCACAGTCGGCTAACACCCTTGACTGTGTGACCCATCCTGGAGGGGGAAGTGAGTGTTATAGTGTTCAAGGATCAGGGTGTAATCAGCTCATGGACAATTCTTGGATCGATTGGCCACAAGGTGAAGTTTCAAGCATCATCAATTTTCTGATTTCAACCAGTTTGGGGTCTACATTCTTGTGGTCGGCAGTTTTCACCTGGAGGGGTCTGCTTCCTATAAAAACAACTTAGGAATGTGTGTCAGGCCTTTATCTAATCTTTCAGGGAGCTGTGAGTTTGGGGATTCTGCTATGTGGAAGAATTATAGTCTAAATTGTTACCAATTCCCTAGTCCAACAGCTATTCTTTGTTTCTACATCTTCCCATTTCCCAATCATTAACTCTTGACTCAACATTTTACTTCAAAAGACAAGGACACAGGGGTTTGTCACAGTTTCATTCCCAACCTGGGCCACAGGTCTGGAGGACCTGCTTGTTACAACGCCCTCACGAGGCTGAGCCAAGCAAGGAGGTCCCTGCAGGCCTGGACTCAGTGCTATCAGAGACCATAGCAATGAGGAATGAGATGGGATAATCGCTCCCCAACAGAATCTGGATCTGTTGTATAATGTGTTTGTGCTTGTTTTTATGTCATTTGTTGTTAACGTTGGAAGAAAAAGTGTCTTGGCCCTGGCAGGAGCAAGCCTGGCTTCTCAACCTCAACCCAGTCCAAGGTCCGGGAATCTTAGTCTTTGGGCTTCTCAGGCCCTCAGTTTCCTCACCTGGGCAGATGCAAATGATCACATGTCTCTTGGAAGGTTGCTGAAAGGATAAAATCATTACTGGATGATCTTCCAGCTCCTGGAAGATAGCCTCGTCTGCAGAAAATGCCTGGTAAAAGTTACTTTTTCTCATGACCTTTGTCTAGAGCTCTCTCTAATCTGGAGGCAGCATAGTTGGAGCCTGAAGAATCCTTGATCCCTGATACATCTGTACCTATTTCCTGATCCTGAAATCCCTTTTTGATCGGGTAACGCTTTTACCACAGTTAAATATGAGGCATAAAGGACATACTGCAGAGAGAGTTTATGTAAATCTGATAACTAATTGTGAAGGGGGAAAGGGCTGTGTAGTTAGAGAATCCAGGAAGAATGGGATCCTAGCTGGCTTCTTCTATATGGATGGCTGTGTGCACAGGGTCCTGCAACCCAGGGTCTGTGTCAGCTCCATGGGTCCTGAAACACTGCTGCATCCTGTGTCACAGCAGGAGGGAAGCTCACCTTTGTTAAAAACAAACAAGACAGAATTTTCCCTGATAGTCCAGTGGTTAAAACCCGGTGTTCCCAATGAAGGCCAATGAAGGGGACATGGATTTGATCCCTGGTTGGGGAAACTAAGATCCCATATGAGGCACTGTGTGACCAAACACAAATAAATAAATAAATAAATAAATAAATAAATAAAACCCCTTTCCCTCCCTCCAAAAGAACAGGAAAGAAAACAAGACAGCTTTGAAAAGGAATGACATTCTGATACATGCTGCAAAACATGAATGAACCTTGGGGACATTATGCAAAGTGAAACAGACACAAAAGGACAAATAATATATGGTTCCAGCTATTACTGAACCAAACTTGGATCTGCTTGCTTTTGAGCAGTAAAGCCGATCTACTGACACTGGGTTGTGAGGAAGAAAAGTGCAGTGCTTATTTTAAGGCACCAGAGGAATCTAGCATAACTCATGCTCTAAGGCCTGAACTCCCCAATAGGTTTCAGGGAGGCTTTAAAAAAAAAATTTATTTGGCTGTGATGGGTCTTAGTTGCAGCAAACTGCCTCTCAGTGGTTAAGACTCTGTACTCCCAATGCAGGGCACCGGGGTTCGAGTCCTGCTCAGGGAAGTAGATCCTGAAGTGAGGCATTTCTAAAGGCCAGGGGAGAAAGGGGAGTCCCAAGGTGTGTGATCAACTTGTGTACAATTTTTGGATTGACTAATGTTGAAATACAGGGTTGTGTCACAGGGATTAACATTATCAACCCTCAGCCTGCAGTAAGTCTCAGGATTAAGCACTCATGGTCATAAGTAAACGTCTTCCATTTGGTGAAGTTTTTAGCATCTGTAAAACAACTCAGGAAAAAATGCATCAGAAACTGTTACTTAGATACTTCAGACAGGAGCTAAAGCAGAGAATCTGGGGGTGGGGGTGTCTTTCCAGGGAAGTCCCTATAGGGTCCTATTCTGTTACACACTTCTGTGAGGTACCTAGAATAGGAAAACTCATGGAGACAGAAAACATAATAGTAGTTACCCCAGGGCTGGGATGAGGGAGATGGGGAGTTATTAATGGGTATACAGTTTCAGTTTGGGATGATTAAAATTTTCTGGGAATGGATAACGGTCATGGTTCTAATTCTCTGTATGCTGAGGCCCAAACAAACAAAAATAGGCTTTAACGGCAATAGGGGAGATTCATAGCCACCTAGAGGAGACATTCTCATTTGTCAAAATTCCAAACTCCCGAAAAGGGAGAGTGAGGTTGGTATCAGGATCTCCAACCAGCATTCCCTGGGGTAGAGGTCGGGGACCCACAAGGCCCTGCCCTCTATCTCTGGGGACCTGCTGAGTCCACGACCTTCACTTGCCCTTCTCTCTCTGTCTGAAGCTAAGACTCACAGGTGTGGGGGGAAAAGAGGTAGGATTTTGAACGTTTCTCAGGGAGTCATTGTGATTTCTGAGGCTCACTTCCTTGGGCACTCAGAGTTACCCTACGAGCTTGTGTAGCAGGCCCTGGGCCCAAAGAGAGCCCTGTAAGGAAGGAATTATAACAAAGACATGAAGTTGCACTTAATGGGATTACAAGGCAATGAAGATTGCTCTGACATCTGGGCTGAGCTTTTGTCAGTACCTTTGGGGTACATGTGAGGTTGGGCTCAAGCCTAGGGCTTGTGTTCGAAGCCCATGAAGCAAAACAAGGCAAAACCAGCTTAGAGCCTTGGGAACCCAATCACGCGATGCTCTGCTTCTCAAGGCAGGTGCCAGGGCAAGGAGTGAGGACCCAGGAAGTGGTTGTTTTTAAAAACAATCTAATGAGGAAACGATTTCATCTTTCAGTGTAAAAACCTTCCAAATAGAATTACTTACCAAGACCATGCAATGATCATTAAATAAACTGGGTTATAGTTTTGAATATTCCCCAAATAATTTCTTTTTATTTTTCCTTAATTTCTATCAGGTCAGACTTTTGGCTTTGGGGGAAGTCAGAGAAAAAAGTCATCCCACACAGACAGGGCCAGGCTTCTTCTGAGTACTCATCGTTCCCTCTCTTCTTCGTTATCTTTTGGCCATGGCTGCCCAGGTCGGGGATGAGAAGGGGGCCATTTGCTAAATGTGATCCCTAGATTGAGCTTTGACTGAGGCTCAACTACAACTGGGCAGGGATGCTGACTGGCCTGGGTAACTGATGAGCAGTCTGTCCTCTGAAGGGGAGGGAGGAATGGATGGGACAGGGTACAGCATGGGAATGGTCATGTCCTGTGGTGGTCTTGAGGAATCCGCAAGAAGTCTGATGAGTCATTAAGTCATTTCACAAATAAGGTCATGTACCAAGGTGTACACGCAGAAACAGACCCAGTGTGCACCCTGGACAGACATCCCAGTAACAGTTTAGGGCTGGTAAAGTTGTGTACCGGAAGTCGTTGGCAGGGTCCCTGCTCCAGACCAGAGACTCCCGCCCCCACCCGGCAGGCCTGGAAGATCACCCTAAAAAGCTCTTCATCCCTCCCGCAACAGAGCCCTGAGCTGGGGTTGAGTTGCAAATTTCACAACTTGGGAACTTAATTATCACCTTTAAAGGAAGTATATCAAAACTAGGGAAACTTCGGGTCAATTTGTGTAATTATTCATCAGTTATGTTTTCCTGTGGCTCGGACGGTAACAAATCTGCTTGCCAATGAGGGAGACCCAGGTTCGATCCCTGGGTCAGGAAGATCCCCTGGAGAAGGGAATGGCAACCCACTCCAGTATTCTTGCCTGAAGAATCCATGGACAGAGGTGCCTCGTGAACTACAGTCCATGGGGTCACAAGGAGTCATAGACGACTGAGCAACTAGATTAACTAACACTGCATCTAATCTCAGTGTCATTGTAGTTGGAATTGTTCAACCAAAGCAAAACCTAGCCTCAGGTATCTGTTAAGCGGAATAAGGTTGTCTAATTGTCCATGATTTTTCCAGGGCTGCAAAATGTTTTCTGGACACTCTCTGTCCGCCATGCTTCCCCTTAGGATTAACTAGTGTCACCATCAGCTTACTCCTGATTTGTCATTTGCCACTTTTTTCTGTCCCCAATACTCAGAATCATTGTGGGTGTTGGAGAGATCCTGCTCTCTAAAATCACCACTCACTGGCTTCCCTTGTGGCTCAACTGGTAAAGAATCTGCCTGCAATGTTGGAGGCCTAGTTTCGATTCCTGGGTTAGGAAGATCCCCTGGAGTGAGGGAAAGGCTACCCACTCCAGTATTCCGGCCTGGAGAATTCTATCGACTGTACAGTCCATGAGGTCACAAAAAGTCGTTCAGGAATGAGTGACTTTCACTTTCAAGTCCCTTAATGGTCTTAGTTTAGACGCAGACAGAAAGAACAGTGCCCTCTGCAGGCCACTGCCTGAAGTAATATTTATATCAGTGTGTGTCAACCGTGTTAATCGCTCAGTTGTCTGAGAAGGCAGATTGTTAACCATCTGAGCCATCTGAGAAGCTCTTGTGTGTGTGTGTGTGTGTGTGTGTGTGTGTGTGTGTGTGTGTTTTGTATCAACCTCCTCTTAATTTACTCAGAGTAGTAACTTCATAAAAGTTGTAACCATCATCCACAATTGACAAGCTTAAAAATTTTCACTCATCAGAATGGTTTTTTTTTTAAATTTTTATTGCATTTACTTGGCATTTGCTGCTGATGGCAATGTGGTTTTGTTCTTTTCTGACACGTTACTCTTAGAATCTACACTTAAGATTACTTAGATTACTCCTAGAATCTACACCATTTGCTTTGCTTGGTGACAGGAGCCAATGCTGTAATTGGTTCATTACTCTGCCATCCTAAGACTGCTGCCTTTAGAACTGCAAGACATTCCTGACAACCTTAACATAGTGGCTATCGGGGGCAGCTTCCTCTGACTCCCAGGTTGCAGGAACTTCTTAATGGTAGGAATGTTGCTGGTTCTTGTCTTAAATTCCTGAAATGAGAAATAGTAAAATCAGGGTCTTAAGATGCAGTCACAACCTTTAAGGGAGCCCAAAACTTTGTTACAAGAGGTGGAAAGCTTAGATCCTCAGTTGGTGAGGCCTAGAATGTTGAATCCAAGTCAATCCCTTGAAACATGTTTGCTGGATATTCCTGAGAAAGTAATACAACTGCAGGCCTGTTTGGCATAAGTGAAATTTTCTTAGTGAAAAATCATTGACACCATTAGGTGGTGCATATCAATAACTCCAGAAATTCATATTTTTTGAAGTATAAATTCCTTTCTAGAAATTAATTATAAGAGAATAAGTAAGAGTGTGAGATAACTATAAGAATGTTGCCACAATGAAAAACGAAATAATTTATATTTCTCAGAAAGTAAAACTGTATATAAATTATATTATATCCCTAAAAGAAATATGTCAGTAATTTAAAATGATATTTTATATATAAAATAAAGAGGAAGATCCCTGTATTGACAGAGATTGTACTTCATTCCATTGTTTAGTTAAAAAAAAAATAGCCCAGAGCAGAACATAATATATACAACTTTCTGCTATGTGGGAGATAGTGGGACCAGGAGAGACAAATATATAATTCATATTTCTTGTAACTGCATAAACAGGAACAAATACTGAACAGGCACACAGGAGTCAATAAAAAAGATTATAGAGGTGAGAATATAGGAGGGCAGTGGTGAGAATGAAATTCCATAGTTTATGCCCTTTTTATACAAGTTCTGATTTTTCAAAAAGATGTGACTCTACTGCCTAATAAAAGTAAAAGAAAATAAAATGATATTGCAGAAGAATATGCATTGAAATGTAAATATATTTATGATAAGTGAAAAAAATGTTAAAAGCAGGCCACAGAACAATATTTAGCATGATGCCATTTGGGGGGAAAATGTAAAATAAGAGGTCAGGAAGTCTAATACAGAACCATTTGGTTGGTAGGATTACAGGTCTTTTTTTCTTTTTGGTTTATACAAATGTCTTATGTACTTTTTTTTTGTTATTAAAAAAAGCTACTCTGGAACTTCCCTGGTGGTCCGATGGTTAAGACTTTGCACTTCCACTGCAAAGGGCACAGGTTCAATCCCTGGTCAGGGAACTGAGATCCCACATGCTGTGTGGCAAAGCCAAAAAAATGCTATTCTTGAAGTACAAAACCTATGGTCACCTATTGGAGAAAATCTTTGTAAGGAACTGAAACAGAAGCTAGGTAAGTTCTGGCAGTGTCAGCATTCAGAGAGAGGTCTGAGGACTGGCAGTGTAGCAGGAGAGAGGCAGGCACATAGACACACAGACACACAGACACACACACACACACTTATGTGTATGTTAGTTGCTCAGTCATCCTGGCTGAGCACTGGCGGTACCCTCTGAGCAGAGGCTCTGAGCAACTGAGGGCCTTCATAGCATCAGATGTTCAAGCTGGGTTTAGAAAAGGCAGAGGAACCAGAGATCAAATTGCCAAAGTCCGTTGGATCATCGAAAAAGCAAGAGAGTTCCAGAAAAACATCTACTTCTGCTTTGTTGACTGTGCCAAAGGCTTTGACTGTATGGCTCACAACAAACTGTGAAAAATTCTTCAAGAGATGCGAATACCAGACAACCTGACCTGCCTCTTGAGAAATCTGTATGCAGGTCAGGAAGCAACAGTTAGAACTGGACATGGAACAACAGACTGGTTTCAAANCTTTTGAACTGTGGCGTTGGAGAAGACTCTTGAGAGTCCCTTGGACTGCAAGAAGATCCAACCAGTCCATCCTAAAGGAAATCAGTCCTGAGCATTCATTGGAAGGACTGATGCTGAAGCTGAAACTCCAATACTTTGGCTACCTGATGTGAAGAACTGACTAATTGGAAAAGACCCTGATGATGGGAAAATTGAAGGCGGGAGGAGAAGGGGATGACAGAGGATGAGATGGTTGGATGGCATCACTGACTCAATGGACATGAGTTTGAGTAAACTCCGAGAGCTGGTGATGGACAGGGAAGCCTGGCATGCTGCAGTCCATGGGGTCGCAAAGAGTCTGACACAACTGAGTGACTGATAGCATCGGGGGAGGAAAGGGGACAAAGCGGTCTGGCAGGAGCTGGAGAGGAAAACAACACAAGTAGACCCAGCAGCCATGCTTTGTCAGGAAAAACACTCAAAGCACCGCACCAATCGGAAAGCACTAACTGTTCACGGTAGAAATCAAAATCTTCTTTCTCCCTCCATCGGTTTTCTTTCCTAATCATCCTATTCTGTGAGCAGGAGACAATTACCAAAATGAGTGAAGTAATGATTTTTAAAACAGCCCTTTTAACTTTCTTTTGAGATTGGTCTGGAGGCATATTTTGCTTCAGTCTTTATGTCTGTTCATGTTTCCCTGGGCTCTGGGTGGATGCTGAAACTACCTTTAGCAGAGGGACGTCGGAAAGAACAGAAGCATCAAGTTCTTCCACCATTAAAATAGCTTCCAGGAGCTGTATGTCTGCCCAGCTGAATTTGTTGCCAATGAGAAAATCCTCTCCATGGTCTTTCAAAATCTGCAGAAAGAAAAATAAAGAATATCAAATAAAACTAAAGACTATTTTGCCTGGCTAACCACTTAACAAAAGCATGGGGTTTTTTGTACAGATCAAATTTACTTAAGAATCTTTTCTTGATAATCCCTGAGAATGCTTACAAGGATAGAATGAAACTAACACCTTTATGTGTGTGTGCTAGTCATTCAGTTGTGTCTGACTCTTTGGACCCCGTGGACTGTAGCCTGCCAGGCTCCTCTGTACGTGGAATTCTCCAGGCAAGAATACTGGGGTGGGTAGCCATTCCCCTCTCCAGGGAATCTTTCTGACCCAGGAAGATTGCTGGATCAAATTCACGTCTGTAAGAATTACACGACTGAGCGACTAACACCCTTATATATTGCCGTAATTGGCACAATCTTTTTGGAAATTTGACAGTGATGATCAAGACAATTTGGGTGGTGAAGTGCTGGAGTAGAACTCCCATTATGAGCCTAGAGCTGATTAAATAAAACTGTGCCCACCAGCATGGAAGACACAAAGCTCATAATTTTTTTTTTATTAGTTGGAGGCTAATTATTTTACAATATTGTAGTGGTTTTTGTCATACATTGACATGAATCAGCCATAGATATACATGTATTCCCCATCCCGATCCCCCCTCCCACCTCCCTCTCCACCCGATCCCTCTGGGTCTTCCCAGTGCACCAGGCCCGAGCACTTGTCTCATGCATCCAACCTGGGCTGGTGATCTGTTTCACCCTAGATAATATACATGTTTCGATGCTGTTCTCTTGAAACATCCCACCCTCGCCTTCTCCCACAGAGTCCACAAGTCTGTTCTATACATCTGAGTCTCTTTTTCTGTTTTGCATATAGGGTTATCGTTACCATCTTTCTAAATTCCATATATATGTGTTAGTATACTGTAATGGTCTTTATCTTTCTGGCTTACTTCGCTCTGTATAATGGGCTCCAGTTTCATCCATCTCATTAGAACTGATTCAAATGAATTCTTTTTAATGGCTGAGTAATATTCCATGGTGTATATGTACCACAGCTTCCTCATCCATTCGTCTGCTGATGGGCATCTAGGTTGCTTCCATGTCCTGGCTATTATAAACAGTGCTGCGATGAACATTGGGGTGCACGTGTCTCTTTCAGATCTGGTTTCCTCGGTGTGTATGCCCAGAAGTGGGATTGCTGGGTCATATGGCAGTTCTATTTCCAGCTTTTTAAGAAATCTCCACACTGTTTTCCATAGTGGCTGTACTAATTTGCATTCCCACCAACAGTGTAAGAGGGTTCCCTTTTCTCCACACCCTCTCCAGCATTTATTGCTTGTAGACTTTTGGATAGCAGCCATCCTGACTGGCGTGTAATGGTACCTCATTGTGGTTTTGATTTGCATTTCTCTGATAATGAGTGATGTTGAGCATCTTTTCATGTGTTTTTTAGCCATCTGTATGTCTTCCTTGGAGAAATGTCTGTTTAGTTCTTTGGCCCATTTTTTGATTGGGTCATTTATTTTTCTGGAGTGAGCTGGAGGAGTTGCTTGTATATTTTTGAGATTAATCCAAAGGTCATAATTAACTAGAATCTGGCTACTACACCACAGATAAGGTACCAGTGGGATACCAGAAGCTCAAACACGAGCCTTTTCACCATCCAGTGAAAAATGAATAAAAAAATTCCTCAGGTGATGCTTTGAGTTGCAGATGTAAAAAATACAAGTTTATTCCATAAATAAGGAACAATGGTAAATTTGTTGTTATTCAGTCGCTCAGTCACGTCCAACCCTTTGTGACCCCATGGACTGCAGCATGCCAGGCTTCCCTGTCCTTCACCATCTCTTGGAGTTTGCTCAAACTTACATCCATTGAATAGATGAAGCCATCCAACCATCTCATCCTCTGTCATCCCCTTCTCCTCCTGCCCTCAATGTTTCCCAGCATCAGGGTCTTTCCCAATGAGTCTGCTCTTTGCATCAGGTGGCCAAAGTATTGAACCTTCAGCATGAGTCCTTCACTGCCTTTGATTTACTCCAATTTTGTTTGGCTAGAGGTTCCATAATTATAGGTCATTTATTTGGGGATCCTTATTAAAGTTTTGGTCCAAATGCAGTACAGCACTAACACAGCTTCTGCCTTTTAAGATTTCACTATTTACTCTTATCAGCAATAGGGGATGTCACTTCCCCCCATCCCCGCAGCCTGGGAGGTAGACCAGGGGACTAGCTGCGCTGCGTAGGACCCTCCCCCAGTTCTCGCCTGCCCCGAACCCGTACTGCCGCCTGGGCTCCGGGGAAGGACCCGGGGGGCGGGGAGTGGGGAGGGTCACCCTCGTAGATGTCAGCCCTGACCTGCTCCCCTGGAGGATCTGAGCTCCCAGCTGTCGCTGACCTCCAACCTGGGCCTCACTGCCTCGGCCAAACTGGATCCCCGCAGCCTACCTTTTCAAAGACCGGGAAGTGCTGGGTTTTGGCTTTCTTCACGACTGAAGCCAGGCTTTCCTCTTTTTCCTCCAGGGGTTTGAACGCAGCCACCACCACCATCATCATGAGGTCCAGGGTGCCCTTGGCGTACATGTCGATCCTGACAAAACAGCAGGAACTCTCAATCCAAGAGAAGCCTTTGGGTGAGGGGTTTCTTGATCCACTACTTTTTTTTTTTGGTGTGACTAGATACTGGGACAGATGACTTATTTGTTTTTTAATTATTGAAGCATGATTGATTCACAGTGTTGTGTTAGTTTCAAGTGTACAGAAAAGTGATTCAGTTATAAGTACATAATGCATATTTAGTTTTTCCTAATAGGTTATTACAAAATATTGAGTTTGGTTTGTGATAGGTCCCCTGAATAGGTCCCCGACCACAAATCCAGGAAAATTTTTACTGTTACAAGTCTTTAAGTTTACTCATTTCCTGTAAAACTGCACTATTCCTGGGAGAAAGAACCCAGCCATGCTCAGCCAGGCCTAGCACAGTGCATAGCACAGAGTGGATGCCTGTGGTGTAGAAATGTAAAAAAACAAAGAAAGGACGCAGATCTTCACTCTTCAGTATTTGTGATAAAGCGTGGCAGCTCTCCCATTAGTAGATGGGGTCTGCTGCTTGGGCTGACCTCATGACTTGATTTGACCCAGAAGCTAACAGCTTCTGGGGTCCCAGTTCTGAGCCCAGAAGCTAACAGCCTGTATGCTTTCACTGTCTCTGAGAACTCTATCTGGCTGCCATCAGAACAAGCTCGGGAAGAGAGGACAAGAGACAGGTGGCCACTTGCTCACCAACTGATGGTCAGCCAGCACCCCAACCAGATTCCCCTTGCTGACCACCACTTGACCACAGACCTAGGAGTGAGTGCAGCCAAGATACATCAAGCCTGACCTGAAAATGCTGACACCCAGATGACCCGTTGACTGGTGGCGTTGTTTAGTCACTCGGTCGTATCCAACTCTTTTGCGACCCCATTGACTATAGCCTGCCACGCTTCTCTGTCCATGGGATTTCCTAGGCTAGAATTCTGGAGTGGGTTGCCATTTCTTCTCCAGGGGATCTTCCCGGCCCAAGGATCAAACCCAAGTCTCCTACATTGGCAAGCAGATTCTTTATCACTGAGCCGCCAAGGCTACCCCCATAGACGAGTGAGCAATAACAAGTCCTTGCTGACTTAAGTCCCTAGGCTTCAGGGTGACATGTTATACTGCATTATTTGCAGTAATAGTAATAGCATTGTATCAATGGATACAATGCTCAATATTTGCTGAGTCAGTCATTGCCACCTTCACGCAGAGTAGTTTATGAGATTGTTTTATGAGAACACACTTTGTTAGGAGTTGGGAGAGAATATGAGAATGTCGAATGCAGACCGCTGTGAAGAGTAGAAGGGGCGTCCAGAAGCAGGTGTTCAGGGCATGCACAAGACATACTGGGGTAGCACAAGCATCTCCTCTTGTCCCCTTGTCTCCTCCCCTCCGTCCAGGCTGAAAGGCCACATCTGATCTGGGTCTCGGTGTAGGAAGACAGAGCTTGGAGAAGAACCAAGTATCGGCACAGGCACTCTGGTACCTGACTGTCTCCTTCGGGTCCTTCCCATGCAAGTTGTACTTGGTAGCAAGGTAGCTGAGGATGGCTCTTGTCTGTGTCAGCTCCATTCCATCAATTTCAACCAGAGGCACCTGGCCGAAAAGCAGGTGTCCGTCTGTGGTTTGAGCGAAGAGATTAGGTTAAGAGACTCTCCCTCCATGGTTGTGGTCAGCCTGCAGGAGGGTCCACTTCTGATTTTGAGTGATTCTTAGTTTTCATCCAAAGAGGTGAGTTTAAGACTCTGGTTGTTGAGGAAATGCCTACCATTTGTTTCACGGAAAATGTGTGATTTGCTTGATAGGTTCATGAGTTTTTGCATGTTGGCTAATCATGGTTATTTAAGGCTTTCTACATTTGCTCTGATTGTATTATAGTGTAAGTGTTTTTGGTTTTCAAAGTTTCAGGTATATAAGAATCACCTGGAAGAGGTGGTAGTTAAAAATACCCCACCCTCCAGATACTCTTATTCAGGGATGGAGTCTGAATTCTTTAAAAAGTACAACAGGTATCACTCCAGGTCTGCACAGGTCTGCACAATGGGATGGATGTGACAGCAAGAACCCAGGTGCTGGGCCCAAATGTCAGCTTTGGCCCTTCAAGCCCTGTGACTTTAAGCAAATAACTTATCTGAGCTCCAGTTTCCTTTTCTCTAAAATAGCTGTCATAGCCATAGAGCAGGATTTTGAAAAGATGAAACATCATAAGTAAAACACTGAATACTGTCAACAATCAAGGTTCAGTAAAATCAAATTTTTCTTCTTTTTGAATGAACTGTCTGTATAAATAATGCATTTAAAGATGTACTAAAATAGTACTTTTTCATGGGGTCTTGAAGGAATGAATAGCCTTTCAATTTTCATTAACACCTGTACATTAATGAGAATAAGGAATTTTACCCAGAATAGGAGTCAGATTTCACTAGTGCACTGGCAAAGGCCACTGTTAATTTCCCCAGCTTCCAATAATTGACCTAATGAGACGTGGGAACATGGTGGCAGAGGATAGCACAGGCACCAGTGACAGCCTTCCAGGGAGCCAGTGTCCCTGTCTTGGGGTGATGGAGGACTTTAGACATGTCTTTAACTTCTCTGAGCCTGTTTTCTGATCTGTAACAGTATCTGTCCTGCCCACTTTACTGAGTTTTTTTGGGCAAGATCATACTTTGGAAATAGCAGTACTATTTTTAGCCGAGAGCCTATTAAACCTCCATTTCCTGAGGCAGTTCTACATTTGCCCAAAACTGAATGGACATCTAAAGCTGAGCTCTATGTTGCTGTTTATGAATGATGCAAACAGCCATTAGAAATGATCCCTGCTTCTAGGAGCCGATGATCCTCTTCGGAAGGATTGAAGAAAATCTCAGATCAAGAGCACAGGAGAGGACCTTTGAGATCCTTTAGTTCAGTTTGTTCATGTTACGGACAATGCACTGCGGAGGCCACTGGGGCAGTGACTGGCTCGGACCCAGAGGGGCCAGCTGAGCTGGCAGAAGTGGGCCTCCTGACTCCCAACCCAGCGCTCTCTCTGGCTGCCCCTGCTTACAGAGGGCAGCAATGCCCAGGAGGCTGTCCTCAACAGCATCACAAACCAAGGGAGGGATGGAGGGTTCCCTAGGATTTCCTGCGTTTCTAGGGAATGCTAGGAATGCTAGGGAAATCCCTAGCATTTCCTACCAGATTGATCACGGAAGAGTTTATACAACAACATCCATTTATTTATTCAATGCATAGGTATTTAACCACTATTATGTGACTGTCATTGTTTAGAGTAAAACAGGGCAGAAATGAAGAGGAAGAGGGGGAGAGGCACTTCAGAGGGATTATAGATAATAAAGGTCCTGGATGAGAATTGGGGAAGGGCTAAGCAGGTCTTCCCTCTCCATGAGATTTCCTGGTACTCAGCAGTCAGGACAAGAAAGATTCTCTTATTGTATGGCAAGGAGACAGGAGGGAGAGAAATGAAAAGCCTTGCCCAAAGCCATGCAGTTTGTAAATGGCAGGTCTGCTGATGACTCACTGAAAGTCTTTCTTAAAAAATAATTTGTGGTAATTTCATGACTGCTTATCAGCAACAATAGGGACCCTGGGTTTCCTTAGATAACGAAAATAGCATTATGGCTGTTAGAAGTAGGACTGGGGAAGTATTAGTCTTCTCTCAGTGGGAGAAAATCGGGGAATTGTAGGGATTAAGAACTTCTTCCAAATGTAATCAAATTCGGATCTTTTCTATAGTTATGATTCTACAGTTGTGACCTGGTAAAATGATCTCTGTTAATCTGCTAAAACCACTAAGAAAAAGTGAATATGAACTATGAGAACCAGAGAATATGTTAGATCTAATTCACACTCCCTTTTGCTCCCTCTCCTCCAGCCCACTGGATCATTGTGAAGAATCCTCAAAGGCTTCTCTGGTGGGATGGGGATTATTGAACCAGTTGGCACTGGATCAACCCATGCTATCACTAAGTTGAGGCCAGAGTCATAACTTACTTGATACATTTTTATGAGCCTAAGGAGGCAGAGCCAATGACACATATAGCTCTATGCTGGGGGCACAGTGAACAGTCAACGTTAGCAATCAGGCTGTGTGCCTTTTCTAATGGTTGTCATTCTAGAGTTCTGTGCTGAAATGAATATTTCCGGGAACATATTTTATTTTATTTTTCCCATAAGGTAACATTAAATAAATCTAGGCTCACCCTTCTGCAACTTCTCATATTGTTCCCTTGTTTCAAGAAATTCTTCTTCAAACTAAAAAAAAAAAAAAAAATACATTATTATAAACCTAAGGTGAGAGAAAGAAAGAAAAGAAATGCTTACAGTATAACAGTATAAAATTCCCAACAGCTTCCAGAATGAAAATTTTATAAAAATTAGTTTAAAAAATTAGCACTTGCTCAAGAATTTGTTACTGAGAGAATATGGCCCTCTTTTAAGTGGATATAAGTGTGTTTTCATTTCCCGCATAAACATACAAATTCATTTTCAAATAAAAGATCACCTTGAACCAAAAAAAAAAAAGAAAGAAAAGACCACAAAGTTATCAACTACCATGTAGCTGAAAATTCTGACAGACCATGCGTTTAAAAGTAGCTTAGGCTAACATGGGACTGGCACCCCTTCTTGGGTGTTTCCTGATTAAAGGATATCTCCAAGCCCCCATTCATATTTTTCCTTGTCTTCATCTTAGCTCTGCCTTCTCTCCAAACTCTTGCCCTCTCCTCCGATTGCCCCCTGATTTTTCCTCTTGCCTTTCTTCTCTTTTCTTCTTCTCTCTTTTCTGCATCCTCTTCCCTCCATATCAGGTCAAGTTAGGCATTTTTTTCTGCTTACATATTCAGTGAAAGGGACCCAAAGATCATTACTCAGGTGGGATTATCATCATTTGCTGATGGAGTTTCCAGAACTTTTGTAGGACAGAGTAACATTTTGTACACCAAACCTTGAGGTGGGGGGTAAGGGGAGTAAAATAAAGCAAAATAAAGAAGATCCTAAGTCCGTGTTCTAGAGGAGGTGGCATTCAAATAGGGACAAGGGAGTCTACACCTGCATAAAACAGAACAATTCCAAAGCACTTGTAAAAAACTTATGAAAAAGTCAGAGAGAGGGTTAAGAAAAAATACTGGAGTTAGGGAAAGATCCCAGTGGAGTAGGCCTTTAGGAGAAGGGTCAAGGGGTGGCGGGCAGGCTGCAGCTGGGCCTGAGGTTCCAGGGGACAGCCACGGGTAGAACAGGACTGAAGTGCTGACCAGAGTTGGAAAGACCCTGGGAAATGAGCTGGTCTCAAATGAGAGAATGATTCAAATGTGAGTCTCCTCTCTCTCCTCAGATTTGAGATCCACCGAGCTCCTTCCAGGCTCAGGAAGCTTCCAGAACACCTCCCTTGGCTTCTCCCTTCCTACCCCTGTTTAAGCAGAGGACTATGATCTCACCTTCACCTCAGGAAGGCAGTTGGAAAGGTAAAAAGTGGATACAGCTTGAAAGGCACCGTCCTGACTTTTCAAAGGTGAAGAGGACCACTTCGGTCTCACCCAGAGTACCGCCCCCTGCCATTTCCCAATCAGGAACCAACCTCCACACCAGCTGCAGCCAGCAGCCAGCGGATAGACTCCATCCTGCCTCGGCCACGGAAGTACCAGAGCTTCGGTTTGGCCGCCATGACTACTGGCTTGGGTTTTCTGAAGGGCAAAATAAGAAAATATGTTTCAAGAAAAAACTAGCACAGACTATATGGTATATGTCCCCTTAATTCCAAAATTGGTGAAACAAAACTATTATTTAGGGATGCATACATAGGAGGCAAAAGTATGAAGAGAAGCAAGGAAATAATTATGACAGACACAAGATGGTGGTTACCTCTAGTGAGGAGAAATGGGGGCTGTGATTGGAGTCAGGGTATGGGGGTTCTGGGATGCTAATAACATTCTGTTTCTGAAACGGAATTAGTAATTAGCCTTTATAATTGATCTTTAAACTGTATAGAAATACTTCTGCACTTTCCTGTGTGTATGCTCTAGCTCACAATTTAAGAAATAGGAAAAGAACAAACAAACCAGTTAAGCCCAAACTGCCCCGCATTACATGCTAGCTAAGGATCACACTTTAAAGTGGCTGCCTATGCTAACAAAACTCACAAGGAAGTAAAAAATCAGAATAATAGTAGTCAGTTTATGATGAGAAACATAACTGTTAATACCCACAATCATATGAGAACAGAGTCACTTGCGTTCTCAAAGTCTTGCAGGTTTTTTAAGCCATTTCCCCGACAACCAGCCACTTCTCCTCTGCATTGGATTTACAGTTTAACTCTTGGAGAAGTTTGATTCCTTTCCTGCTGTCTTGCCACTTCCTGGGCACTGCCTATGTTTGGTTGTCAAGATTCATTCCTTTCAAACTGCCTGGTTAGCTCCTGCATGACCATTTCAAGAGCTTCTTGAAAACCCACCACTGTATTGTCCTGGGAGACACAATGATTAAAAAGGTACCACAATTCTCTGATTAGAGAAACTATGCTTAAGTCCAGCAACTCACTACTAACAAACCTTGAAACGAATTGTACAATAAACCAAATGTGGAGAAAATATGAGAAGAGGAGACAGTGACTATGTCTTCTTCCTAACCTCTCTCCAACAAGATAACTCCCAAATCCTCTGATCTCCTGGAGCATCCCTTGTAGGATGATTAAGGACCAGATAGAAGCAGCCCCTCACACTGTTAGAAATCAAAAGGAGGAAGGTGCAGCCAAATACACACAGTTGGTTCCTGTGCCCGGGACATTCACATCCAGATGGCCAGCTTCCAGGTCCTGATCATGTGTCAGGAGGCAAATGAAACAGGCAACTGACAAATGGTTCCTGGCTCAGAGGATCCCCTCCAGGTCTGCAGGCATTCTACAGCTTTCAGATAAAAATCAAGCAATACTGGTGAAGTCAAATGCCAGTGTCTCACTTGGGAAGCTCTGTCTCTCCTCTCTCTCTTGGGTGCACAGCCCTCTCACCATTTGACCCCTCTCTACCTGCCCTGAGAAACAGGGATGAGGATGTAAGTCAAACTGGAGCTGCTCTGAGCTTGCTTCTTGTCATTCTGTCTCCCTGAAATGTTTGGTCCAAATTCTGTTTGAAATAAACCCAGTTGGACAAAGGAAATCCTGGTAAACCTCTTTTCATAGTGATTCTGTTCTGCTCCCCTAGTTAGCCAAAGTTGAAAGTTACCCTTTGGTTTAGAAACCGTGGATCTAAATACAGTCCTCTCTGGTAACTTCCAGATAGCTGTTTCTGAGCAGTGGGTGCTAAAGTGTAGGCTGAATAGTCTTTCTTCTGTCTGGTTATTCTCTTAGTGAGATGAAAACTCACAGCCCTGGACTGCTTATAGGAGATGGGTACTTCACGTGGCCACCGAGTGTCATGACTTGGAGGCTCCAAATTATGTATTAGTTCTTGTCAAGAGTGAGCTGCCAATGGTACAGAACTCTCTCAGACAAAAGGACTGTCAGCAAAATGCCATCCTAAATGTATTAAGAATGGGACAAGCTTCTTGTTGGCATGGCAGTTGGTATTCAAAGGGATGTAGAGGTATGTGCCTTGGAGGTGAAATTAGTGAGAAGCTGCAGACATCGGACAAGTGGACAGCAGTCTGGTGTCAGGAATGGAATGAGGGGAGCGTCACTAAGTGAGAGGGAAGCCTGAGCTCCATTGAGTACAACCTCCTGGATGTGGGTAACAGCCCCTCGGGCCTGTCCAAGAGAATGAACAGTGAGAAAGCTTGTGACCGAGCAGGATTTTGTGGGGACTTCTGGGGACAGACTCCTTTTCTCTTGTCCTCTTCAATCACTCCTTTCTAAAGTACCTAGCTAATAGCATCTGATGGACATTCCTGAGCTGTTTTACAGATGCTAAAACAACCACCAAATCTGAGAAACTAACTACTTGACGATCATGAGCACATAGGCCCCAGACCTACCAGAGCCTAAGGACTGATAATGTGATACCAGCCCCCGCCCTCACCTGGCCTTTAAAAATGCTTTGCTGAAATCCTTTGGAGAGTTTGGGCTTTTTGAGCACTAGCTGTCCTGGATGCCTCGCTTGGTACCCTGCAATAAGTGCGACTCTTTCCATCACCACAACCCAGTGTCAATAGATTGGCTTTACTGAACATGGGCAAGTGGACCCAAGTTTGGATCTGATTCTATTCATGTACAGCCTGCTCTGTGCTAGACATGGAGTTGGATGCTCAAACAGAAGTGATAAGTGAGTGTGACTATTCCCATCTTTCAAAGGCTGGGGGCTCTGCACTTTAGAGTCATGAGTCCTCACTATTGTACAACCTTATTCCATCTCTTTAGGCCTCTGTCTCCTAACACTTAAGATGGGGGTACTGGTTGTATTCCCTGCCTCAGACAGTTGTTGTGAAGACCAAGGATTGAAAAAAATTAATAGATAAGATACCATACCATACCATAATGTCTCACCCATATCAGCTAGAGTCTTCCATGCTTCTTTAATCATATTACAGGTGGATGTGGCATTTTCTTAGAATTTTTTATGCTAAGATTGGCTTGTTTTATACATGATTTATGTCTGTCACAAATGCAACTGATACTTGTAAAAGAGAGCTAAAACTTTTGGAAACTTGACCAGATATTGCAATAGAAGATATTTAAAATGTAAAAACTAGTGTGGTTTTTGCCTTCATTTGTGATTACAAGGGTAATTGGAACATGTGCATGGTTTGCTGCTATAAGGAAGTGTGTTTGGGAATTTTACATGACGCTTTGTGTTCATAATTTCCCTCCCCCACCCACTTACTTCTGCCTGCCCCTTGAACATTTTCAAGATGTGTAGGAAGTTAAAGGATGAATCACTCCCCTCTCTATCAGTACCTCCAAGTCTTCCCTGGTGCCCAACGGAGCCCCCAAAGTCCAGGGCTACAATGAAGGAGAACTCACTTCAGATAAACAGGACCATAGCCTGCAGTCTTACCTTCCAATCCGAAAGAAGGAAACTTTTTTTTTAGTTGTTAGTAACCAGCCACCACTTCTTGTAAAAAATCCCAGCAAGTGTTCATGTGCCCCATTGATGGCTGCCTCTAGCCGACCAGCTGCTCTTCCTCACCTCTCAGCCCGCGCTCCACAGTGTTCCGAGTTGGGCTCTCAGCTGAATGATGGAGTCTCAGCAGGACTCTGGGCCCCACCCAAACCCTCCCAGGAGGAGCTGTTCCTTCTAGAATGGCAGAGACAGACAGGGGGCCCAGTACCTCTTACAACCTCACACCATAGCCCAGGATGAACTGCTCCCTGGATTCAACACCACAAATACATTAAGCTCCTGGTAGACAGGAGTCATGGCATAGTTCTTCCATCTCCTGCAGAACCAACTTGGCATTATCCTAGACATATGGCAGCTGTTATCTCAATGCGCCTCATAGAGAGACCAGTTTCTTCATTTGTTAATGTTGGGTAGCTAGAATAGGGAAAAGGAGTCCAAAATGGCGGTGGCTAAAAGACAGGAAGGGAAAAGCCCACGAAAATAGAACAGAGGAAGGTCAAAGGAAGGTCGGAGGACCAGAGTGAGGACTTCAGGTAGAATAGAGCTCCTGCCTAAGCCCAATTTGCATAGGACAGGCCCAGGGGGAAGAAAAAACACATAAAAAGAGGAGCCAAAGGGCTCTCTCTCTCTCTCTTTCCTGGGTGCTCTTCTCTTCGCATCTTTGGATCGACATGCCCTCACACCTTGAAGATGGATTTTCCTGCTATCTTCTAAATAAAATAGAGCTGTAACACTGAGATGTAACTCTGATTTCTCTAAGAGCCATAACACAGTCTGTTCGAGACCTGAGAGCTACAACATGTTCTTTCTAAGACCTGAGAGCTGTGAGGGGGCTTTAATGTTCTTCACTCCAAATCTTTGTTGTGATGAGACAAAGAACCGAGGAGCATACACTCGTCTGACATTAAGATTTTTGTGTTTGAGTTTTCATTCTTTCAACATTAAATGTTTATGGATCTGCTTCTATGGCTATAGTCCTAGGTTGCACACTCCAGGCATACAAAGATAAGTAAGATGTGGTTTCTGCTGTTGAAAACCTTATATCTAGTGATGGTATTATCCAGACCATGAAGAGGTAAGTCAGAATAAGTGTTTAAGAAAAGCATAATATAGTATTACAGGGACAGGGCCTTACAGATTAGGTATATATAAATATGTTTGGTTCTTTGAGCCCCACCCCTTCCTACTCCCAAGGCATTATAGATTACTGACCTAAACCAACTCCTTTAGTCCTTTATCCTTGACCTGTAATGAATTTCAACAAAGATTAATTTCAAAGAACAACTTGGTAACACAGAGGCCCAAGTTTATGCTTCGGAAAGTAAACCCCATTCTCATTGTTTAAAAAAAAGTACATTGTCAAAGCTTGAAAGAACAGGTGTGATGGAAATATTCATCCTGCTTGTGGGAAACAAAGAAGCCAAGAACAAAAGAATTCTTTCTGGATTTCATCCCAAACTCAAACAGATCTGAGAACACAGCCTGCTGGAAGAATAAGAGCCTGAGGGGTTGTGCTGAGTATAAATTCACTCCCATCTCTTCAAGTCTGCTTTTTATGTTGACCTTGACCAACAGGTGTATCCTGAACTAAATACACCTTGTCTCCCAAGTAGACTCCTTGCGTGACTCCTTTTACAAAAATGATTTTATTTATTTATTTATTTTGGCTGTGCTGAGTCTTTGTTGCTATGTGAGCTTTTCTCTAGTTGCAGGGAGTGGGGGCTACTCTCGAATTGTGGTGGGAAGGCTTCGCATTGTGGTGGCATCTCTTGTTGAGGGGCACAGACTCTAGGGGACGTGGGCTTCAGTAGTTGCGGCATGGGGGCTCAGTAGTTGGGGCGCCCGGGCTTAGTTGCTCCATGGAGGGCTTAGTTGCTCTGCGGCACGTGGGATCTTCCTAGATCAGGGATTGAATCCATGTCTCCTGCATTGGCAGGTGGATTCTTTACTGCTGAGCCCCTGGGAAGCCCTCCCCACATGACTCTTTTGACATTGGGATTGAGTCCCTGGGAAGCCCTCCCCACATGACTCTTTTGACATTGGGAATTGAGACTTGTCTCTCAGGGGTGTTGAACTTCTCCTGTGTGCGGCTTTACCTGAGGTGAGCAGGGCTATGCACATCCCACTCAGAGCCCCAGGTGCCCAAGGCAGGCTGGGCAGAAAGCAGCCATGATGGTATGACAGCCTTCGGATATTCAGTGTGTGGTCTTTCAGTAACAAGCATGCCCTAAATTTCTTTTTCTTTCTTTTTGTGACCGTAAATTAAGCAATGACTTATGTGATAAAATACAGAAAGCATAAACCACACATTTTAAAAAATTGCACTTACCAGTATTTAAAACTTTGCTTTTCAAAAGGCATTTTTTAACAAAAGGAAAGGCAAATCAACTACTGGGAGAAATTATTTACAAAGCATACCTGATTAAGGAACTCATCCAGAATATATAAAGAACACTTATACCTCAATAATAAAAACAAAAACCAACACTTACAACCAGTGGACAAAAAAAAAACCCAGTGGGCAAAAATTTGAGCAGATAAAACTAAAATTAAAAAAAAATTTTTTTAGAAAATGTGGAAGAACATCTATCTGACTCAGGCCCTGGATACCAGGAGAAGCAAAGACCTATGTCTAGATTTCAGCTCCTCTTCTCACTTGAGTAAGCTTTTTAAACCTCTCTCAGCTTCAGTTTCCTTAGAGTCCCTAAATCATTTGGTTAGTAGTAGAAATGTGATAAAGTGTACAAACTGCCAAACATAGTAAGGACTCAAAAAATGGCACATGTGCCCGCAAACACACACACATACAGGCACACACATCTATATCTCCAGATTGTAGTAACAGTCACAAAAAAAAAAAAAAGATCAGTGGAAGTGGAAGGCATTCTTTAGAAGTGTATTTGTTGTTCTTTTGCTTTATTTCTTTGGCTGTGTGGCATATGGGATCTTAGTTCCCTGACTAGGGACTGAACCATGACCCCTGCTGTGGAAGCACAGAGACCTAAACACTGGACCACCAGGGAAGTTTCTAGAAGTGTGATTTTGGACCAGCAGCATCAGCTTCGTCTAGGAACTTGTTAGAAATGCAGAATCTCAGTTCCTGGGCCAGATCTACTGAATCAGAGGCTGCATGCTGGGAGCCAACACACGAGACCCTACCCATGACAAGGTCATGAGGGAGAAACCCTGATGGGCAAGGCGGATCAGGTTTTCAGGGGTTTCGGAAGGCCAGCTCACGAGATCCCACCCATGACAAGGTCACGAGGAGAAAGCCTGACAGGCAAGGCAGATCAGGTTTTCAGGGATTTCGAAAAGCTGCCCCCGGCGCTCACCTTAAACATGATATTTGTCTTTCTGATGCCTGCCTCAATAGACTACTCCCTAATTTCTGTGACACAGGCACAAGGCCTTCCCCGATCTCTTCCCAAATAAGAATCAATTTAGAACTTTAATCAATAAGTTTCCCAGGTAGTGGTATTTTATGAGATTATCCAGGGTGAAAGGAGTGTTTTAATTTAAACTCCTTTGCTGGTAGTTTGTCTGGCAAATGCATTTATGCCCTTGGTACTAATATGCATGATTGCTTATAATACCCTAGTCATAAAATAACATAAAGAACCTGATTATATAAAAGCCCTAATAGACATAGAGCATTTTTGAGGGGTGAAGGAGTCCTATTAGAATACATAAGAAAAATTATTCTAAAGGTGGTTATTGGGTTGATGTTTGCTTGCTGAGTTTTTGCTTTTAATGTGCTAAGGTTGTGTTATAGAAACCATTGTTAATATAGTTAAAGATGTAGAGAAATAAGAACTTAGCCCTAGTGTGGTAACAATGAGATGGTTGCTAATTGTCAGCCAGGAGTGCTAGGCAGAGGCTGCCTCACTGAAGCCGCAGAGTCTGTGTGGGGTAAACTTCTTAGATAAATGCAACTGACAACTTCTGCAGAAGGATTAATTTTTGTGTTAACAAGGTTATACTTCTACTCTGTACTGTTGCCCTATGAGACTGCTACCTTTCAGTTAAGGTCACCATAGAAACAGAAAATAGGTTTACATTCACCTGACTTGCATAAAATGTTAATAGGCCCCAAGGCCAGAAGATAATGTACAAGACCCTCATAAACAAAGAAGTATGCAGAAAACACCCTGGTTTCATGAAGAACAAGCTGATGTAATGTTAAACTATCTTCCCCTTAGAAACGTACTAATTTAGGGTACAAAAGCGACGGTAAAAAATAAAGCATTGCCAGACTCTGCCAGCTGCACACCTCCGTCTGGTCACTCTCTCTCTCTCTCTCTCCCCCTCGCAGACTTGACCCTATCAAGGCTAGTCTCATGTGTCTTTTCTCTCTCGCCGACACCGTTCATCTTGAGGGTACCCCCTAGATCCTGCCGAGGCTGGACCCCGACAGTCTGACATGACCGAGCAACTGAACAGAACTGATAAGGGACCTGCATCACCTGTGGAGTGATATAGTGTTGTTGGAAGCGGCCTTAGTGTTGTTGTATATAAATTACAAACTTCAGAACAACTACTAAGGCCAGAAAAATACAAACTATATTTGACATGCTAAGAAAGGAGAAAAAATGGAATTAAATAACGCTCAATTAAAACAGAGAGGGCAGAAAAAGCGTAGAAGATAAAGCAAAAACAGTGGGCGGGGGGTTGGGGTGGGGGGCGAAGAACCAAGGCAACAAATAGAAAAGAGTCACACAAAAAAGAGAAGAGTAGACATGAATGCAACCACATCAATAATCACTTTAAATGTGAATTGTCGTGGTCTATGCACAAGTTGGAAAAGAATCTCCAGACACAAGGCAGAATGAGAGGAGTATAGAGTTTATTAAAGCAGGAGACACTGTTAGAACAGTGGGCTGGCTCAAGGAACAGCTGACTCCTTTCATGGATTAGTAGCCAATTTTTATAGTCTCAAGACAAAGAAAATTCCTGCTGGAAGGGTGGCATTAGGTGATTAGTTAGGGTGCTATAGGGTGGGTAATTGGGTGAGTATTTTTTCCTAAAATGGGGTCAGGGAGCTGGCCAGTTTAGATCACGGAGGCTCACGGCAGGGAGCTGGCCAGTTTAGATCACGGAGGCTCACGGCAATGGTTACTGTGGGACTTGGTCAGTTCGGAGATGACCTCAGTGCAGGGCTCCACCTCTGTGACGTCCATATAAGGCTTTACACCTGTGACCATGATTCAGAACAGAGCTCCATATAAATGTTGTAAAAAAAAAAATGCTGTAAACATTCACAAGTGGATTTTAAAACAAACCCTATTTTTGGTTTTTTGCAAGAAACCCACTTTAAAGACACAGATTGATTAAACAGAGAAATTGATAGTGGGTGTCAAGTGCTTTGAAGAAAATAAAATAGGATGATGAGAAAGAAACGCAGGGTGTGAGGTTGGGCCACAGAGTTCATGATCAGAAGATTCCCTTAGTGGGAATGTTGAAGCTGATGGAACAAGGAGCCCGCCACGGAATCTTCTGGGCAGACAATTTGGGTTAAAGGAATAAAATGCACATACAACAAAGAGGGAATACCAGCAAGTATGCGAGCCTGGGCTGGTGGCCGTTTGCTGCAGACCCTGCCCCCTGGAATTCACCTTCCACTGTTCTGTCCACAGGCCCTTCCATACCCGCCTCCTCAGGACTGGGTGTCAGGCGTTCCTTTGGGCATCCAGTCTGCCAAAGCCCCTCTAAGCAGCTTATGTTGGGTCCTGAGCTCACTAGGTGCTGCATCTCCTCCTCCGACACACCCCAGAACCCCACACCGTTCAGCTCCCTGCTTTTGTCCCAGAGGACACTGGAGCTCTACAACTGCCCTGTTTATCTGTGGGGTGCCCTTTCACCCCGTTGGCTCAGCTGCTGTGGGGTCTAGCCCATGAGCCTCATGGGTCCCCTCTGTCCTGTCTCCCGGCCTCACATGTCACATTCCTTCCTGAACACAGCATGCTGACATCTTTGAGGACAACCATCCTCTGCCTGACCTCCTGGCTCTTTTACCAGAGTCTGGTGGCTTGTGAAGATGGAATGGTGGAGGCGTTGAGACTAAAAGGTCTGGACCCCCAAAAAAGGTTGTGACAAGGCCAGGAAACTGCACCTGTGCAGGATGGGGTAGGGGGAGCTTATTTCCAACATGGAAAGTGAGATGAATGATTTAAGGTCGTGTAACCCTGAGCACAGCGATGTGGGAACCTGTCTTCACTGGAGGCAACTTGGCCTTTGTATTTATTTTTGTTAATCCTCCAATTCAGGGCAGACCCAACTTCCTCACAGGTTGTCTTCTCCAAGAGCCGGCTTTGAGGGCCCCCTTGTGTCTGAGAGAATTAAAACCCCCAAAGCACTATTTACACAATGGCTTCTGGTCTGCCCGAATATCATCAGGCAATGGCCCTGGGTATTGAAATCCCACCCAGTCATATAACAGCTCCCATTTCCTGCTGTCCAACACAACTCGACAACAGAGATCCCTGGTTGTAACCAAGTTAGTGTCTGCTCCCATGTGTAAATTAATCTCCAAGTGAGGGTAATGTGTTTGCCCTCAATGAAGCACTGGAAGGGAGCAATCCAAGACCGCCCTTGCTGACACCAACTGCAGGTTCCCAGTGGTGGTGGTTTAATTGTTCATTTGTGTCTGACTCTTGTGACCCCATGGACTGTAGCCTGCCAGGCCCCTGTCCATGGAATTCTCCAGGCAAGAATACTGGAGTGAGTTGCCATTTCCTACTCCAGGGGATCTTTCTGACCCTGGGATCACACCCACGTCTCTTACTTCTCCTGCACTGGCAGGTAGGTTCTTTACCACTAGGGCCACCTGGGAAGCCCACGGAGTGTCCCCCAAGTGGCCCCATGCCCAAACAGTCTGCTGGAAGGACTCACAGAACTCACAGAAAATGGTCATACTCACAGCAATGGTTTACTACAGGGAGAGGACACAGATGGAAATCAGTCAAGGGAAGAGATGCACAGGACTGAATCCAGGACAGTTCCAGGCTCGGAGTGTCCAGATGTCCTCATTCTGAAGAACCGGAAGTCCAGGGTTTTACTGGAGCTCCATCACGTGGGCATGACTGACCACCCACTTGACTGATCTGTCTCCAGCCCCCTCTGGAGTGGGGCTGACACCACATGACCCAGAGCCCCGCCCTACATCACATGGTTGCTGTGGCTCAAAGCCTATGCCTGAAATCATATAGCCGTTGTTACCTACCTGGCCCAGGGCCCCTGGCAAACAATTTACTCCGATTAGGCATGTCTCCGAATAGTAAATGGTCAGGGAGATCCCAAGGCTTAGAGATCAGCTTCCTGAAGCCAAGGCCGGACCTGTATGTGGGGAAGCTGATTCTTTCCGCACCCCCACCCCCACCCCCTTTCAGCTTCTTCTTTTTGTTCCTTTGCTCCCAGGAGGCTGGTGGGAGCATCAGCGTGGACACCAATGCTCCCCGGGCCTGCCTGGTGATACAACTGCTGCCAGCCTTGCTCCTTCAGCAGTTCTAAGTATCTGAGTGATGACAGTGTTCAAATTGTGAAAACGTGAAGGCAGAAAACCATCTTCACATCTGTGTTGGATTTTCCTCTAATAAAACTCCAAGCAGCTTGCATTGATTGTGACAGGCATGAAGGGTCACCTCGTTACTGTTTTTTTTTACATCTGGGCAGAAATCCCTCTTGCAGTAAGAAATGGGTGTGTTTTCTTTATGAGACGTGGATCAAATAGTTGTCTTTCTCCAGTTTTTAAATCCCCAACTATTAGCTACTTTCGAGTGGCAACTTTTTCTTTTCTAAAATTACTTCCGCTTTGAAGCATCTATCTTGCCTACTGTGTGGTGACTTTTTTCTAAAGCAAGCCTCTGTTTTAGGATTCTGCCTCCTGGCACCCTGCCTGGCACATAATAGGAGCTCAATTAATATTTAAGATGCAAGTCAACACATGTTTAAAACAGTACTAATAAATCATACTTTTAGTTCTGAAGTGCAAAAAAACTAGAAGCCTCTAAATAACCATTTTGGTAGTAACATGATAAAAGATATATTCATATTTTCTTACACTTATGTCAAATATAACTGGAAGGATAGACAAATGATAATGATGTTTGCCTGCAGGGAGCAGAACTGAAAAGAACTGGGAGGCAGGGCTGAAAACACTTCCAACAATATAAGTTTATTTATTTTTGGCTGTACTGAGTCTTTGTTGCTGCACATGGGATTTCTCTAGTTGCAGCAAGCAGGGGCTACTCTCTAGTTGCGGTGTGTGAGCTTCTCACTGACGTGGCTTCTCTTGTTGTGGAGCACGGGCTCTAGAGCATGTGGGCTTAGTTGCTCCATGGCATGTGGGATTTTAGGTCTGGGACCAGGGATCAAACCTGTGTCCCCTGCATTGGTAGGCAGATTCTTAACCACTGGGCCACCAGGGAAGTCCTTGTATAGCCTTTTGTATATTTTTGATTTTTGAGCCATGTGGATGCATTATATATTCCAAACAATTTAACTTAAAAATTCTAGCAGCAGGGCAATAATTTGTAAATCCTTTATTTTAGTGAATATCAAAGGCATTCATCACTACCACGAATCTATCATAGCTCAGAGGAGAGTTACTCGCTATTTAGTAAACTTCATTGTCATTAGACACTAAAAACAGGAAGAGACTGGAGGGAGTTGAGAATGGGATAAGGAGAGGACAAAAGCTCAGGGGACAGATGATACAAGGTCCTACCCATCCTTGTTACCAGGAAATGAAGAGACAGAGCAGATATAACTTAAAGGCTGACCTCTCCAGAATTTTTTCAGAAAAGGTCCTGTAACAATCACTCACTGGACAAAAAAAAAAGGTCGATGTTTCTCAAAGAGATATCAGGACATGAAAGACCAACGTAGGAACAATATACACAGCACCACGACAGAGCTGGATCACGGCAGCCTGGCTTCAATTAAGACACTACTGTGGACACAGCAATCTCCAGGGGTGGTGGTCACTCACAGCTGTACTGCGGTCCTATGGCATGAAGACGGTGTACACGGTTCTCACGTAGATGTCATCAGGGGGAGGTTTCTTCTTGCTGCCAGGTTCAAGGAACTTCTTAATTGTAGGGATATTACTGATCTTCACTGTGTACTCCTGAAAAGAGAAAATGCAAAAGTTCAAGGCTAAAAGCAAAGGTATTTGTTTCTATGAAAATTGAACTTGAGCTTGAAAGTTGCTCAGTCATGTTTGACTCTTTGCGACCCCGTGGACTATACAGTCCATGGAATTCTCCAGGCCAGGATACTGGAGTGGGTAGCTGTTCCCTTCTCCAGGGTACGTTCCTAACCCAAGTACCAAACCCAGGTCTCCCACACTGTAGGTAGATTCTTTACCAGCTGAGCCATTCTATGAGAATATAGTGCTGCAAAATGGCCCATCAAAATGTCTGCAAAAAATATTTGTTTCAGGGGTCCAAACAGACCCATAATCCAACATCTGTTGAGGGGCTGATCTGTTGGTATGATCATTTACAATCTCTCCCACAGTGGCTGGGATCTAGACCAGATCCCAGGCTTTATGCAAATCCACACCACGATGTCAACTCTTTTTAGAGACAGCAAAATAAAAAAGATACTTAGAATGGGATTATACTTGCTTAAAGAGAAAAAGAAGAAGGACAAAAAAGACACAAGAAGTACCTTAAATGTATTGCTCTAAGGAAAAAGTTTAAATAAAATTACTTTTAAACTTCATCAGACAGTACAAGTTACATTTTAAGGTTCAGCTTCCTTGGACATTTTTACACATATTAACAAATGAATTCTTTTTCCAGCTATGTGTGGGAAATGGCCAGTTGCATTTTTGTAGCCTAGGGTTCAGACACCAGATATTCATGTAAACTGCAGTGGAAGAAAAAAAATCTCATTTTTCATTCATAGAGTCAAATCTTAACAATTTTCAGTAATTGGGAGGAAAAATCCATTTGATCTGGTGAAAATTCTAAATTATATGGGAACTGAACATCCATTGTCTATAATTATTCTAACAAAATCTTTCAAAATAAAGAGGTCATTTATTTAAAAAGCTACTATTTACCAAATGTCTCCTGTGTACAAAGCACAGTCTTAATTAAGCATGTGTACAAACATTATACAGAAGCATTCATACATATGTCACTAATGTTAACAAAAACTCTAGTATGGAATTTGTTCCAAGAGTATAGTCATGCAGCAAAACCAAGAGACAACTTCTTTCATGTGTAAACAACTGCTCAGCTCTAAGGGCCTGGGAACCAGAAAACCAATTTCAAGTTTGTACTTCAGTTTCATTTTAGTAACTAGAATCTAGTTTCCCCAATGGCTCAGTGGTAAAGAACCTGCCTGCCAGTGCAAGAGAAGCAGGTTTGATCCCTGGATCTGGAAGATCCCCTGGAGAAGGAAAGGAAATGGCAATCCACTCCAGTATTCTTGCCTGGGAAATCCCATGGACAGAGGACCCTGGTGGGGTACAGTTTATGGGGTCACAAAGCAGTTGGACACAACTTAAGAGACCGTAAAACACCGCCACCATAATGAGAACCAAAAAAATTACACACACACACACATACAAACACAGAGCCAATCAATCAACAGACATTGAAGGAAGGCCTAAGAGTTGTGGGCCAATCTCCTATAACATTAGTTTGTTTACCTGGAGGTGAGGGAAGGCAGACAGGATATTAGGAATTTTCTCTTCTAGAGCCAAAATGGTCTGGAGTAGAATTATATCTGCAAGACTCAGCTGATTACCAACAAGAAACCTTTGTCCATGACCCTGTAAAACCTGCAGGGTATAAATGTTTTACATCGGTTACAATACTCGACATGGAGAAACTAATATAGCTATGGAATCAGTGCAGCATCTGAGAAGAGCTGAAGCCATGGCCTTTTTCTTTTATCTTTTTACAAATAACATCAACTAAGAGGAAGTTCCCTGAGAAAGAATGAGCAAAAACAGTGTAGAAATGACAGCATCCATAGGTCTCTGCTTTATAACAGAATGAGACCCTGAAAAGCAGAAGGAAGTATTAATTCTGGATTTAGTATCTGGTGCTTTAAAAGGATACAGCTATTCAGAAACATGTCTACAGAGAAGAATTAGTCCTGATGCATTCAGAAGATGGTGGGAAGGATGTAAGAAGTAAGCCATTGGTCCTGTCCAAGGAGTCTAATTTCATTTTCCAGTTCTGTGTTTCTATGACTGTCAGGACTCACAGTCATAAACTAGACATGACAGTAAAAAAAAAAAAAAAAAGCAGGCTTCCTTTAACATTTTCTAAGAGCCCCTGGAGAAGGGAATGGCTGCCTACTCCAGTATCCTTGCCTGGAGAATCCTAGGGACAGAGGCTATAGTCCGTGGAGTCGCAAAGAGTCAGACATTACAGAGCAACTAACACTTTCACTTCACTTTCAAGACCAAGAAAATTAAAACAATGAGAATTCATCCTGACTCCCATATTGAGAGTAACATATAGGTGCAGAGATCCATAGGAATAGATGGTGATTGGAAAGAAGCAAGGTACAGGTGTAGACCGGGAGAAAAACCCTTTGCAGATATGTGTATGTGCGTGCATGGGTGTGTGTGTGAGAGACAGAGAGGAACTCTAACATGATTCCAAATCAAACAGAGCAACTGGAACCAGATTGGGAGAAAGACAGAGAGTCTGGAGCTGCATCAGAGGCCAGAGTTCCAGTCCTGGCTCCCACCTTAGGCATGTTACCCAGTCTCTCTGTGGTTCTATTTCATTACGTGTAAAAAGAAGGTAACAGGACCGGTGGTCCAGTGGGTAAGAATCTGCCTGTCAATGAAGGGGACACGAGTTTGATCCCTGGTCCGGGAAATTTCCACCTGCTGCGGAGCAACTAAGCCCTCCTGTCTCAACTACTGAAGCCCACGTACCCTGGAGCCCCTGCTCGGCAACGGGAGAAACCACCATGATGATAAGCCCACGCGCCACAGCTAGAGAGTAGCCCTCATTCACCGCAACCCGAGAAAGTCGGTGTGCAGCCACAAATTCCCAGTGCAGCCATAAATAACTAAGTAAATAAGAAAGTAATGACTTTTAGCTTGTATGTTTGGCAGAGTTCTGACGTAATCTGAATCACAGGGAGACAAAAGCTGGCAGTGACCTTTATTCAAGACACCTGTTCCTCCCTCACCATAGCCCATTTCTGCATCATCATATTTTACAATCACAAAGTGCTGCGGGCAAGAGACCATGAAAGCAAGGACAGAAACACTCAGAAAGTACCTCTCTTCCTTCTTATCTACTTCCACGTCAATGGCCAGAGGAAATCTGCCAATTCCCGGCTTTTACTTGCTCTTGTTTTTTAACTGAGGCATTTAAAATAATCCTTCTCCGTTGAGGAAAAGAGAGGAGGAGCTGAAGCTCAGAAAACCAGATACCGTAATGAGACAAGAAAGATCACAAAAGAGAACAAAAGGGAAGAGAAAACAGCCATGGTTCTTCTCTTCATATTCAACTATCAAGTAGGATGTCTGATACACAAATGTTTGTGGAACGAAAGAAGGAATGAAGGAGGTGGTTTCTGCTCTTCTGTATCCTGTACAGGGTGGCACCTGGTGAAGGTAAGCAATGACAATGCACACACGGGTGAGCCCATATCTTTGCCAGAGAGCATGGAAGACTCTGGAAGAGTTAGGGAGGCTCCAAGATACACTGGCTTTGTGCTGGTGCAACTGGCAGTTCTCCAGAACCCAGGAGGCTGGCCTAGCAGGGCTCAGCTTTTACTCTGCCTGAGCAGAAAAGCGGCATTTTGCAGTATGCTGTTGCCGTGTTCACAGGCTTCACTGCCACCTACCTTTTCGAACACGGGAAAGTATCTAATTATAGCCTTCTGGGCCATGTTAGCCACTTCCTTTTGCTGATCGTCTGGTTTGAGGAAAGGATGCAAGATAAGCAGTTCCAGAAGATCCAGGGTCCCCTCCACATACATGTCAATCCTTCAAAAAACACACAAAAAGCATTTTCTCAGTGGCCCCTCATTGGCTCCCATAACTAAATATCCAGGGTGCTTTTCTCTTACAACTCGGGCTACTTAAGTATCAAGAAGCATTCATCTCCACGTGTCCCTTAACAGCAAAGATGCAAAGTCAACTCTAGTCATAAACTAGAAAACTTCTTCAGAGAAACCCATCACAAATCTCAAAGTACCAGAGTCATGATGGCCTTTCTCCTGGCCCTACTCCAGCACCCATGCTCAGTATGGGTACAACTTCACATTTGTAAAAATAGTGGCTACCACTTACAGAATACTTGGTGTGTATGAGGAATGGTGCTAAATACCCTACATCTAATATTTCATTGAATCCTACAGCATTATGAGGAATATACTATTAGTATCCCCATCACACTGGAAACTCATCAGGACACTGGAGCCTAACACTTTGCCCAGGGGCATAATTCAGGAGGTACAAAGACCAGGCTCTGAGTTCAAATTATAAGCCAGTATATAGTAATCTGGGCCTTGAATGTCACAGCAGCTTCCGATTCCTAATACTCAGTGATAATAGATTTGCAAGCACGGTAAAAAAAATAATATCAAAGCATTGAAGGATGTTGAAACCTGCACCACGCCCCAGATACAGTCTCTAATATCCAAATTCAATCCTTTCCTCTCATTTTACTCAGACTCTCCGTATTGATTTTCTAAGTGGTCTTGATGACCTTTCTGGAGGTTTGTTCCCTGTTCGCGCTAACGATACAGGACATGTGGTGGACCAGGGGGCTGTGGAGGATGGCTACTGAGCTAAGCATCGGTAGAGGTACAATTGAGAACACCCCAGAGGAGCCACAGTACAGGGTTCTCTCCTTGAGGTCTTTGCCGAAGAGATGGTGCTTGTCTGCGATGTAGTGGAGGATGCTCCGGGTCTGCACAAGTTTCATCCCATCAATTTCAACCATTGGCACTTGTTGGAACAGCAGGTGGTTACCTGGGAACGGGAGCCCAGAGTTAGACGTGCTCTCTCCCCTTTCCCCCATCCCTCAAAAAAATGCTCTGCTGAATGGGGCCACAGCCTTAGAAAATAGTGTAAAGCTCCCCCAACTTCATTCAGGGGTGCTAATTTAGCCATAAAATAAGACTGAAAACTAGCATGGACATAAACCTTTCAATTTCCACCCCAGGAAAAACACTTAGCCTCAGTGTAAAGGGTGAGGGGTAACACAATGAAGACATCTCTTTACAGAGCTGTGCTGGCCAATACAGTAGCCAGCAGTGGCATATGTATATGCCACTAAATTTAAATTGAACTTTTTAATTTTTTTTGTAGCTGAGGCATGAAAGCTCGCAGGATCTTAGTTCCCTGACTAGGGATTGAACCTGGGCCCACAACAGCAAAAGCCTAGAATCCTAGCCACTAGGCCACCAGGGAACTCTAAATCAATCAAAAGTTTTTTAAACTAAGGTTTTTTTTTTTTTTTTTGGCTGTGCCTGTGCCATGGGGCATGCAGAATCTTAGTTTTCTGAGTGGGGATTGATCCCAAGCCCTGCTGCAGCGGAAGTGCAGAGTCTTAACCACTAAGTCACCAGCAAAGTCCTAAAACTTTTGAAAAATTTAGAAGTCACTTCCTTTGTCCCCATGGACACAAGTGCTCAGGAGTGACATATGGCTGGTGGCTCCTGCAATGGCCAGTATAGAACAAAACAACCCATCCGTGTAGAATGTCTATGACTGCATCACTTTGTCAGTCTGATGATGAAGCCCAAGACACTGGCTGATACTAATGTGCAGGCTTTCACTGCCACAGCCTACCTACTGCCAAGTTCACAGTCACTGGTCAAAAAGTCACCCCTTACTTTCTTCAAGAAGACTGTCTCAAACACTTTACCCACACCAAACCCCAGGGAGAGTCACAAGTATAGCACACAGGCCAGTCCTGGGGGGCTCAAGGCGGGTTGCGGGGAGATATGTACTCAGCGCAGGGTCACTCATGGTGGACACATCACAGCCCCGCAGAGCTGGTCCCTCTCCAGGGATCCTTGAGCTGGGCCTCAGGACCCTGCTGATGGCAAGGAAGGAGGCTGCTTACAGGGCTCTGGTTGTGGAGGGAGGGTGTGACCAGGAGTTAAAGGCAGGCCTTTCACTGCTGTCTCATCTGTTTGGTACTTACTTGAGAAAGCAGCCCAGTGTAAATGGGGACTTTAATCTGCACACTTCAAGCAGATGCCTCAGGTAATATGTAGGAGGTGGAAATTGAGGAGGGAAGGGATGAGGGAGGGGAAGAAAGAGGGGGAAAGGTAGAGGAAGGCCGGGGAGGAGAGAGAGATGGAGAAGGGCTGCCCAGTGGACAGAGGGAGGAACTACTCCCCCTTCGACTGGCTTTTATAGAACTACTGAATATCAAGTACCTTCTAGCAATTTCAGCCACTGTTCCCTCTTGCTTGTCTGGTTTTAGGATACTGTTCTGGATGTTTAGTGTCAGCTGCATCTTTGTCCTTCCACTTAAATACTGGTTCTTTAAACAATCAGCATTATGGACAGTAATACATTTTTATTTTTATTATTTTTTTTATTATTATTTTTTTTTTAGTAATACATTTTTATACTCACCATCCTGCAACTTCTGCAACTGTTCTTTTGTTTCTAAAAATTCTTCATCAAACTAAATTAAAAAAGACACCCCCCCAAAAAAGAAGGGAAATGTCATTACAGTTTTCGGACCAAAAATACCAAGCTAAACTGCCTGAAAAACAGACAGAAAGAACATACTCAGTACCCATATCTTGGTTTCTAAATATCCCTGGGATCCCAGGAATAAAAGTTGACTCCGTTATATCAACAAGTGAGGACGTACGCAAAGACTAACAGAGATATGTCAAAGGAAAAGGCATGTGGGACCCTATCCAAGAGGGATTCCCTAGTGACATTTGGGACAATTCAAGTGATATCAGGTATAGATGAAGAATACCATCAACCAAAAAAATCCCTGTGTCCATAAATGATACTCAAAAAAAAAAAAAAAAAAAGAAAGTTCTCTTTTCCAGAATTAGCACTAATTAATGCAGAATTGTTCCTAATTAATGATAAAATTAGAAAATCACCAATTTTCACCCTATAATGTAATAACTGACTCTGATAAGGATCAAGATGCTGAAATCATTGGGTCATTGGGCATAGAATATTCAAAGCATCATCCCACAGGTTACTTATTATGAAAAAGAAAAAACGTCTCTGCAGGTGTGGGAATCCCACCATCCACTTAACCAAGTGGTCCAGCTCAGTTCCCCACTGGGGGCCACCCTGAGGCATCTCACGCTCCCTGCTGTGACAGTGAGGACAGCGACACTGCAGAAACAGCATCCCAACCAATTTAACCTGGATGGAACTGCAAGGTGAAAAGGGGGTGTATCCAGAATGTGCAACACTCGGTAATATAAAATGGTCTGGACTCTTTCCAACCTACATAACTGTTGTTTGTTTTTAAGCTCCTCCAGGATGGGCAAGGTTTGGAAGCCAGTTAGGGGGACACACTTTCTGCCTCCGCGGCTCCCGCTCTGCGGGCCTCATCACTTGTCTGGCTCCCGTTTCCTAGACATCCCGACTGAAAGCATGAGCCCTGCTCTCAAGGGCAAATCTTTATTTACAAGTGACTTGACTGTAGCCAGGTAAACCTCCTCCAAAAATTCTTTAGGCTATTTGGCCTCCAAGTCACATAACGGACTATTTCTCTTGGCAGAAATTCATGCAAGAGATTCAATTCCTCCTTCACACATTCCTTCTCTGTTAAGTGAAGAGTATGAAAAAAAGGAACAAAATGCAGATTCTGCTCTAGATGAAATGAGACTAGAGACATAACCACCAAGTGTCTAAATCTTGATTAGATCTTGGGGGGGGTTGTAGTTATAACTACTAAAGAGATACATTTAACAGTTATATAGCCATCTGGGGGACAAGCGGCAATTTCTGAATATGGGTTGTATATAAGATGCTGTAAAACTGATGTTAATTTCTTAGTTGTGACAATGATATTACAGTTATGGGGACAGTTTTATTTTTTTCTTAACAGGAAGACACAGGCTGATGTCTGCAACTTACTTTCAAATGATTAAGAATAAAAAAAAGCAGAGACAGAAGAAGGAAGGAGGCAAAGAGCAAAATGTTAGCACCTGGTGAGTTTAGTTGAAAGGTATCCATTTTACTATTACAACTTTTCTATAGGTTTTAAAGGTTCCAAACTAAAAGTCTGGGAGGAAAAGAAACACTGGAGAGTCCCTTTTCTTGTGACATATACAACACGTTCAAATACACTGGTTTCCTTCTCATGCCCACTGAGGCCCCAAGTCCCTGGGTGGTTCCCAGTCGAGTCTGTGCCCTGCGCCGCCCCTCACCCCATGTCATCCCAGGAAGGACAGAGCCAGCAGCACAGACCTGGCCATTCTTTCTTCTACCTCACTTAGTGGACCAGAGGGGCTTCAAGATGACGGGGTGTAGACATGGCTTCTACTATTCCCAGCCCTCCTGTGTGAGGAGAGGGCCTCAGTGCCCCTAGAGGCACTCCATCTGGGGTCCAGGAAGCAGTAGCTTCAGGGTAAGAATGTTCTGGGCATTTGTTCAAACACCCAGCCAGTCAGCTGTGATGCCAAGGTGTTTCCACTGCACCATTGCTCTCACACTTTTATGACCCTGATCATGTATAAAGCGCATGGGAAAGCGTGTGTATGTGCTAGACCCTAGGCCCATCCCTCAGAGATACACCTCCAGTAGCTGGGAGATACCAGGAATGTACATTAAAAAAAAACCAAGCCTTTCCAAGCAACATGGACAGACCTAGAGATTAACCTACTAAATGAAGTAAGTCAAAGAAAAGTATCATATGATGTCATTTATATGTGAAATCTTGAAAAAAAAAAAAGCCACAAATGAAGCTATTTATAAAATAGAAACAGACTTACAGATATAGAACAGAAACTTATGGTTACCAGCATGGGGGAAGAGGATGCAGGATGGATACATTAGGAGTTTGGGATTAGCAGATGTACACCAATATATATAAAACAGATAAACAACAAGGACCTAATGTATAGCACAGAGAACTACATTCAGTATCTTGTAATAACCTATACTGGAAAAGAATCTCAAAAATATTTATAACTGAATCATTTGCTGTATACCTGAAATAATATAAATCAACTATACTTCAATAAAATTTCTTTTTAATTCCTTCCAAATGGTTCCAATTCTGGTTTTTGACTCCTGGGAACATGTAACAAAATGCATGCTCTTTCACTAGAGAAACTCTCTTGTGTCAAACTTTGTGAAACTATTGGTCTGGAAGAAAAAACGGGCACCGCAACAGGAGATGAGAGGGCAGGAGACGGAGGAAGGTAGAAAGTGCAGGAGGCAGAGCTTGGAGGAGCTGGCAACTGTCTGGGGGCTGCCCCGAGGGCTGTAAGGACAGACAGGGTGGGGTCTCTGTCCACACAATCAGCGGTCTCTGTTCCCTGACGGATGCTGGTCCCCCAGGGGATCCTCGAGAGAAGTGCCCGCATCCACATCATGCACTCCCTCCCTCTCCACACACCCCCTTCTACTGAGCGAACTGCCCAGAAGTCCTGAATGAAGAGGGTGTGGCCTTCACGTCCTCTTTGACACTGTTCATTCCTCCTCTTCTCAAGGAGGATCTGACTGGGTTTGGGGGGTCTTTGGGCAAATGAAGTTCCAAGCAGCCAAGATGCAGCATTCAGCACACAGCAGGGTCTGAGGACTTAAACCAAGTATGAGTCGGAAGATGCTGACTCCTGGAATTAGGCCAGGCTGCCTCTCAGCAGGTGTGAGGCACCTGTTACTGGGATGTGTGTGCTTTACACGTCAGGCTCTACCTGACATTGTGACCCTGGAAATCATGAACTCACCCAGCCGTTGTAGCCCGGCCCTCCTGACTATTTCAGATCTGACTGAACACAGATGTGGCTGAAAATGTCTTTGGCCACAGACATGGGAGGGATCCCTGGTACCAACGTTGGGGCATTGCTCCTGTAAACCGTGTGGTCAGCCCTCATGAGGGAGGCCAGTCTTTCTCCTGATTAGAGAACCTGATCAGAGGAGTGGACTTGAGACCCACGCCGGGCTAAGTAAAGTACTCTACCCTACCTGCCTGCCTGGTCCGGGGGAGGTCAATCATATGAGACTCATGTTTCTTTTTATCTTACTTAGGGTTGGGTTGCTATGACTGTAACCAAGAATCCTGACCCACAGCTGAGTAGGAAGCACAGAAGGAAGCTAGAGAGGAGGGGATTGGACAAGGGCTTCCAATATCTACACACATGACAACAACTGCAAGCTCAGAAACACACAGGGTTAGACAGGCGACGTGAATAAGCCGAACAGGCTCAAGTCAAGGGATCAAGAACTGTTGCACTCTCTTCTTAACACAAAGAAAGTGTTCTGAGATAATAGGGAATGGTGGAGACTACGTAAACTAGAAAGGTCCATCTGTAGGGGCTGTCCCTCTTAGAGTCAGCAATGGCTGTGCTATGAAAGTGAGGCCCTAGAAGCATTAGATCTTCTAATTTCTCAAGAGAAGTCAGAAATCAGAATCCGTATATAAAAATGGTATCAACTAACTTAGAAAACTGTAAAACACTGTGTGGTGAGATATAATGACAGGCAAGGAAACCAAAGCCTAACCAAACCAACAAATAAAAAACAAAACCCCAAACCCAACAATCTTTATCACCTTTGGAGGTTGGTAGGATAATGACTCATTCTGAAAAGTGATCGAGAGAAAGAAAAAAGCATTTATCCTGCTTTTCTTATGTGAACTGATTAGTGCTTCAAGATAATTAAGTACGTAACCAGTGAACTCTTTATAAGAGAATCACAGTTAAATTTAGGTGAAATAACAGAAATAGAAAAATCACCATTTGTAACCCCTAACAATGGTGATGATCAAGGCTGCAAAGACGGTCGCTGAAAGGGTAACAGAGGAAACTTCATACTGTGGGAACAGGCTGATGTCACGGAAACACACTGATCAAACTCAGCAACGCTGAAAACGAGACAGGCAGACGTCATGTGCCTGTGACGTGGCATAAGAGAAATATCTTCACACTTCCACCTTTGCTGCAGTCTGGCAGTGAAAAAAAAAAAAAAAGAGAGAGAAGGAGAAAAAGGAGCCTGGATTTGATCAGACTTCTGGATCCAATTAGTAGTTTACAGGAAACAGAGAAGAGGGGAACAGGTTAAAATGAGAGGAAGTCCACCAAATTCAGAATGAGGGGCATTCTACAAGCAGTTACTTCCACAAATGGCCCCAGGAACAACCACAGACACTTAGTATCCAGATCCTGACTACTAATACCTGTTTTATGTTTCCATCAAGAAGAAGCTCCAAGAACAGAGCAAAAACAAGACCAAAAAGACTGTGGGCCAAAGCATATGGGCATTCAGGGTCTTCCAAGCCTGAAGCCACTAAAGTAAATAGGAAACAAACCTAAACCTAGAGATTTTATAGTCACAAAGTTCTGGGTGTAACTGACAAATTGCAGGTTCATTCCTGTTTTCCTCATTGTAAATATTTACTGGTGGTAGATCAGAAGCAAATGATTAAGGCTGAAAGTAAAAAAGAATTTCATAACTACACTCCATTTAGAAAAAGAAAAATTCTTGAGAGGAAGGACTCTTCTGACTCACGGAAGCAGGTCTGTAATATTACTGGGAGAGGACAGAGCTCAACGTTATAGGACGGATCTGTGCAGAAACACCAGTATAGCTAGGGTACCTCCACTCCGGCAGCAGCTAACACCCATCGCACGGATTCCATCCGGCCTCGTCCGTTGGGATAGTGGAGTTTGGGTTTCGTGGCCATCACTGCCTTTCAGGTTTTCTGAAATACAAACGCAGCACTCCTTGCAAAAGAACAGCCTCAATTTCGCGTCCTCAGTCCAGTGTTCAGGGGCTAACTGAATATTCAGGGTTTTGACACACGTAACTGTTTGGGGGGTTCTGTGGGGTTTGGGGGAGGAGGGATTTTGTGGGGTTTTTGTTGTTTTTTTCATTAAACTGCGTTTTCCCTCAATCGATAAAAACAGACCACCATTTTAAAACCTTAAAACACAACCACCACCTTTGCCTTTCAAATTGTTTCACAGCTTTATGATTTATTATTCGGGATCCTGGGAAGCGGGGGGCTATTTCCTGTAAAGACATTTGGGCTAGCAGCACAGAACTTCACAGAATCAGAACATCATATACTTTGACCTTGAAAATCTGAGATTTCCCAAATTCGGCCTGTACAGGCCAGACGCCAAGGACCGCGGAGGAGACGTCCACACCCATGGAACCTCTGCAAAAATTCACTTTCACATGCATCATATTCGAGCCTCACAGCAACAGGAGGAGGAGGGGTCGATTATTACTATTGTCTGCAAGACGTGCGTCTGCGGGCAGGCCCGCGGAGGTGGCCCCGGTCCCTGCACACCCCTGTCCCGTTTGGACAGAAGCCCCCAGGCCCTTGTTGCGCCCAGGCCACCGCTTGTCACCCGAGACAGGCTCCCCGCGTTCCGCGCGGCCGCTCAGTCCGCGCTGGGGACCATCAGAGCCTGCCTCCCACCCAGGGCTCTGGACTGCACAGGGCGGGTTAATAAGGTTACGCACGCCGACCAAGCAAGACCCCCCCGCCCCAAGCCAGGGGTCCCTGTCTGCCTCGATAGGGACAGGGCCGCGGGAGGGAGACAGGGATAGGATGAATGCGGGTGTGATTCCAGGATGGGGAAGCAGCGTGAGTCTCGGAGCCGGGAGGAACAAGAAGAGGGGGAAGGGGTGGCGGGAGTGACAAGAGGGAGACAGACCTGGCTCCACTCGGAGTGACCAGAACCGCACAAAGGCGCCCAGCGAGCGGTCTGCAGCCTGGGACCCTGGGACGGTCCGAGACGCCCTCGGTGGGCGAGGCTCCAGAATATTTCACCAATAGAGACGGCAATATTTAGCATGCTCCACCCATCTGCAAGGCATGCTGGATAATACGCAAACAACTCCAAATTAAGCCCCGTTTAATAGCAATTTTTGCAATTTGAGGGAGTAATTTTTAAGTATTAGTTAGGTTTGGGCTTTAGTTTAACATGTATTTTAGAGATCCGGCATTTAGAGCGCAAAGGAAAAGTCGACCTAAGCAAAAAGACCCAAATTTCTTCTAGTTTATATACTGCGTGCACTACCCTGGTTTCTCGGATGTGAGGGCGATCTGGTTGCGACATCTGTCACCCCATTGATCGCCAGGGTTGATTCGGCTGATCTGGCTGGCTAGGCGGGTGTCCCCTTCCTCCCTCACCGCTCCATGTGCGTCCCTCCCGAAGCTGCGCGCTCGGTCGAAGAGGACGACCATCCCCGATAGAGGAGGACCGGTCTTCGGTCAAGGGTATACGAGTAGCTGCGCTCCCCTGCTAGAACCTCCAAACAAGCTCTCAAGGTCCATTTGTAGGAGAACGTAGGGTAGTCAAGCTTCCAAGACTCCAGACACATCCAAATGAGGCGCTGCATGTGGCAGTCTGCCTTTCTTTTGACAATTTTGTAATTTTTCTATTAATGGTAACATAATGTGTAATATTTAATTATAATGTGTATAGTTATATATTATATTGATTATTAATATATTATACATACATTATATATTATACATATTTTTATATATATTTTATTTTTAATTTATATAGATCCTCTTCCCTCCTTTCTTCCTTGACTCAGTCTTCTTGAGCTTCTCCTTTATTTCCTACACTTTGGACAAAACTGGTTTAATCCTACATATAGCGCCTTGGATGGGAGGAAGTGGGGGCCTTGGGATAGAGGTGTCAGTGGGGCTACAACTATATATAATCTGGGTGGTAATTAAGCTAGAGCTTTAAAAAATATTTTAAGACTATCAAAATTAGTATAGAAAAATTCACACAAATTTTAAGGTTAAAAATATATGCCTCCAGAAGGACTATTTCTTATTTCCTGAGGCAGCCTCTCCTATTTCGCAGACTATAGATGTTGATTATTGTTTTCACCCAGGACGGGTTCTTGAAAATACATGGCTTGAGAAGCCTGTGCTGCTGATCAATTAACAGCAACTGACAAGATCAGATTTTGTCTTCTGTAGATTTCTCTGGCAGAAACAGGGAGAGTGAATTGGGACTGTGCAGGGTGGGGAAAGAGACACCTGGAAATATCCGTGTGAATTACAGTATAGCATCATACATTAGAAGAAGATGGGTAAGAAAAGGTAAGATATTAAGGGGTGGATGGGAGGAAGAGAAGTCTAAAATGATGCCCTCTCCCTAAGCACACACACACTTTCTTTTCCATCCTCCTTGTTTACTTTTCATAACATTTATTGTCATATAATATACTATATTTATTTTGTTATCTGGGATTTTGATAGAACGTAAATTCCAACAGGTTAGGGTGTTTTCATATTTTTTAAAATGCACCTTTGTATACCCCGATCCTAGAATAATGCTTAGGGCAGAGAAGACATTCAGAGAACACTTGTGGAAAGAAAGGATGAACGATGCTTTGGTTTCTAGCTCCATAAAGATTTGGGGGACATAATAATGAATGGGTTTGTCTTTTATTCTCACAAGCCACACACTTGTCAATGTCACTAGGCAGTTGAAAGGCCAGTGAGAGGTTAGGGTTAGCAGATATAAGCTATTACATATAGAATGGATAAACAATAAGGTCCTACCGTATAGCACAGAGAACTATATTCAATGTCTTGTGATAAACCATAAGGGAAAAGAACAGTAAATAACAATTATGTATAACTGAAGCACTTTCCTGTATAGCAGAAATTTAACATAACCCCGTGAATCAACTATACTTCAACTAAAAAAATTCTTTTTTTTTTTTAACATTTAAAAAATGAGGCCAGTGACAACTCAGAAGAGAGGACTGAGATGGATTAATCTGGCAGTAAAAGAAAGTATCCAGAGAAAGTATGTAAAGTAAGAAGAAAATCAAACAAGAACAGCTGGGCACCCTTAGAACTGGAAGTCATTTTCCAAACAGGAATAATACTATATGTTCAATTTCATCTTTCTAATTCTGACTTAACACAGACATGACTCAGTTTGACATAGAGAGGCAAGCCATATTTTTCAAACCCGCTGGAGGTGGTGATCTTTATCAGTTTTCTCCAGGTCACCTTTCTGCAAAGATTCACTTTCATCGAACTATACAGGAAAAGCACTATTATCAACTTTGTTGATCAGTTAGACCTCTATATCCATTTGCTTCTTCTAATTGGTTGAACCATATCAAATTGCTGGTATTTTACTATTTTCTTCTAACCAAAAAAAAAAAAGGACACTTTATATGTCCAACCTAATAAATTAGGGGTCACATCATCCTAGCAATCTTGTTTATCTGAAAGAGAAACTAGGGCAGTGTCTTAAAGACTCTCATTAAACAGGCTTGTGGAGAAATAAAAAAAAAAAATCCTGTTATAATTCTGCCATTCTATGAAAGTACCCTTAGGTCATTCTGCTCTTTGGAAGCCCCTGAAATTATTCTATTCTTGGAGACCCTTGGGGTTGCTCTCAACCTGAGACAGTCTTATTCACGATGTCTTTCTACCTAGTGGATATATATTTATATTCAGAGGCCTTGGGAACTTGTCTCAGCCTTTGACCCTCCCCCCCACCCACTCAGTAGCAGGTAAAATTGCTTAACAAAAATCAAGAGCTTTAAAAATCAGTTTAAGAGGAGTGTTTGTAAGTAAACATTCCAGGAAGAGTCACAAAGGTTTAAATTGAGTCTCAGCTGTTCTGACAGCAGGCTTTGATAGCAGGAAGGACGACAGAGCTTGAATCTATGCAGCATCTGCAGAAGTGGAGGGACGGCTCAGAGGAGATGGGGGGGTCGTTAGACAAATGGGGTGATGACACACTCAGGTCAGGGGTGTTCTGATGGGCTAGGGCACATCTGTGGATTCACCAATACAAGGTTGATTGGTAAATCATTTTCCCTCAAAATTCTTTCAAGCACTCAAAGAATGTTTGGTAAATGAATTTCCTGTGGAATCCTGTATGGAATTCGTGAAGGTATGAGCTTCTTTTGAAGGTTTATACTGTACATGTTTATTCGGTACGTGTGAGTATAGTGTGAAAGCTAGAAAAATACAAGGTAGGTATTTATCATGAGGAAATCGGCAACAATAAATTGTTTTGATGTGCTTTTTGTTTTGTTAAAATATTCCTAGACACCTAATTTGCTAAAAGCTAAATTTAAATAGTCTCCACATTGCAAAATACCGCTTCCAACTGCTGGTCTAAGTATATGCTACCAATTTCACAGCAGTAAACACTCTTAGTAGGTGTTAAGAAGTTATAAAATATGAAAATTTCAAATTAGGAAAGAGTAATATTATCGTTTGATGGAAGAACATAACAACAAAAACAGAATACTCAAATCAATTTTTCTTAAACTGTAACTTTATTTGGAGCAGAATTTTCCTTAAGTAAAGTTAACGTTTTTAAACACCTTAGGACAAACTATTCAAAAAGGAACATTTTACTTCAGAAGGGGCTTGAGTAAATAGTTTTCGGTCCTCCCATCTTCTCATCATTATGAATATTTGCTTTATAATTCAATGTATTCTTAGTTGCTCCCTTGTAATCAAATCAAGGGACGAAACTGCTGTCAGTACTGAAATATCCGAGATCAGAAGACTATTCAGGCCATTCAAAGTTCACATTAGCAGTGTCTGTAAGAAACTGATAATACAGATTAATGTGATATCTGCCCCCCAGTTTGTCTTCTGTTGGTTTCCACGAGAAGGTCCTCACAATAAATTATATAAAATACAGTACTTTGGTTGGAAATTGTAAAAATAATTCTAAAAATTAACCACATATATTAAACAAGTTGCTACAGTATGCTTTAAATGATAGAAAATAATTAGTATGTCAAACATTTTCTTATAAACATATTGCTTTGGATCACACACTGAGCTAAAACATACAGCCTGTAGTCTTTTTTTCTCTCCTAAATGGCACAGAACAATGGCTTGATGCCACTTCATAAGAAAACATGGTACCTGTGAACTCCAACAGTACTGGTAATTTGTACTTAAAAAACAATTCTGTTTTACATGGGTTGTCTTGAGTCAAGTGTTCAGTTTTTTATCACTCCATAATATGACACAGCATCCGTTTACTAGACGTTTATGGTCCTTGAAGCAAGAGCTCTGTAAGAAATTGCTTGAGAAAATCGGTTTTCTTCCTATTTAAATCATATACGAGCTGGGTGAGGGCTTAGTAATTAATGGCAGCTTACTGTGAAATGAACACTCACACAAAGAATAGCTTTTAGGCTCATGCAATTTTCCCTGCAGTTCACACACGTACCCTTTGGCATAACCACTGTCACCGGACCCTTGGGGGCTATACCATCTCCTGACGTCCCATAAAGCTTTATGCCTGACATGAGGTACAGTCGTGGATAGGTATAGTTAAACTCATCATTCCTTTTGGTGTCTTGTAGTAGATTTTATAATCTTATAGTAACTAAAAATACAGGCAACAGGCAGTATTTTCTTTTTTACTTAACAAGGTATTGGTGACTTTTCGCTTCTTCTACAGTACTTGTATGCTCAATGCATCCTTTACCCATTTCAGGGTGAGAATAAAAGAGAACTTTAGAGAATTTTGCTAGTTCTTTAGAATTGACATTGTTTTTTTTTCAGCCTTCCAGTTTACTCAATGCAGTGTCAGCTTCTTTACTTTCAAATGAATAAGGGAAAATGTCTGCTGATAAACGAAGGAAAGAGGAAGAGGAAGAAAAGTGAAATATTTTCTGCATTGAGGCCCTAACAAAAGTAATAGAAAAACAATTTTATAATGTATAGTAACTAGGTAAGTAGATTTTTCAATTAAAATGTAATGATCTTAACATAAGCTAGAGGACCAT